AAAATGGTTATATTGATTCCTCTAATGGCAGTCTACATATACCTTTATGTATTGGTTTAAGGGTACTTAACACAAACAAAAATTTGATGCATGGATTGATATATATTTTTTGACTGATTTTGATTTAAAATGATATAAATAATAAATCCTTGAAATATAAAGAAATCCTAGGATTTCCTTGGTGCTTAGATATGACTTTGTTTTGCTTTCTATATAATTCTATACAAAATTTTGCACAATTTTTTAACCGGATGACAAAATCTTATTAAAATATCCCACTTTACTTGGTGAACATTATTCAGGTTACCAATTTAAATGTAAATCTAGGAGAAATATTGCCGATTTCTGAAAAAAAAGTTTTTTTGTGTTATTTATCCTAAAAAACATTGAAGACTACAAATCTGTCGCAGATATGCTAGGAATTTTCAGCTTACAAATTTGTATTACATTAGCCGTTTATTTTGGGGTTTGTTGTTTTTTTTTACTCTAGATTTCCACCAATCATCCTCCGATACGACCGATAGGTAATGCTGATTCTACCCTTGTACATGTATTATATATTGATATTGCTATTCAATGTGCCAATCAGATCACTGATGCACATACGAACACTCACACCCCAAGTTAATGTCGCTTCTAAGCCAGTTTATCTAATATAAAGAATTGAAATCCATTTGTATGTGTAATTAAAGATGTACATTTACGATATCTAGAAATATTGAATGAAAACAGACTTATTTTCCTTTAATTGTTTTGGCAATCAATTTTTGAGATGGACGAAGGGTCGAAGACATCGCCTCGACTCAATATTTTTAGTACTTCAATTGGAAACGATATACCATAAAATTGAGTGGGCACGAACAAAACAATTTTATCATAAAACGTAATAATACATGCAGTACATGACTTTACACAATAGAAGTTAATGGAAGAGTTACAAGATAGATAATACCCTAGCTAGCTCTAGACAATTTCAGTGCTGTGCAGAAACAACAGGATGCACTTTCATTACATTTTGATCATTGTTAATGGTGAACTTTTACAAACAGGTTTGTCAACCAGAGATTCGATAAAACAGTTTTAAGACGGTTATTTCTTACTTACCTCGACCCTCCATGTTCAATTTTTCTAAAATTAAACTGTTAGTCAAAGCCTGGTGTATTTATAGATAAGAACCCCCTCCACTACCATCACTGATAACAAACGGAGCAGGTGATTCAGTACTTAACGGTGGCGGATCCAGTTCACTAACATAATTTTAAAACCAATTCAAAGAATCAGGAAAAGTTTAAACGACTTCCTAGTCCAAAGTAATAACCGTTAGATGCAGACGTAGACGAGAACACGTGATTTATATTCTCTTTATAGCCTGGAAAACGCAGCTGGAGATGCTATTACTTTTATGCAATGTTTAATTGTAAACATATTCGTCTTGACACTGTTTTATTGAAGCATTTCAAATTTACTTAAATTCTTAAATATATCTATATATAATTTAGAAAAAAATGTCCGCAATTCCTTAAAAACAATTTACACATATTTTTGAACTGTCCACAGTTAAAAGCATCCCCATTAATAGCGGTACATTGTAGATATGTACAAAAGAAAGTCATTAAAACACTAAATAACTACTAGTATATATGACTGTGTAGAATATTCCTACCTCTGAATTTTCTCTTCATTTCTATCTGACAAATTTTGCTGGGTGCATCCTCAATACGACACAGTGTATTTATCTGATTACTAATGCTGCATTATATATATAAGGAAGAATATATTACTTACATTTTCTGCCACTGGCCAATTGATTATAGTTATGTTTACAGAGTTTGTGCGTATGGAAACAGGTGGAATGAAACGCTTATAGATTTATTCATAAACTAACTAAAACACCCATAAAAGACATATCTTTGTAGGTTAATCTTTATACAACAAGTCTCAGAGTACATATCTCTAAAAATTTACAGACAAAATTGAACATAAAGAAGTGTGATATAATATTTTATTTAGCTATGCACCAAATCACATCAAATTTATGTTAAGGGACTCCGACCCTCAGCCAGGAAGGACAACTCTTTAATTTATAATTTAATTCAAAAAGTCTTTAAATGAAGCTTGAACATTAAATTTTTCATGCAACAATTTTCATTATATGCCTCTCAATGTGCTTCAAGGTTCTTTGACCTCATCGGAAAGGTCTAATTAAAAGTAAAAATTTTTATCCTGTAAAAGCATTTTAGATACCAATGTTTATTAAAATGATATGAAATTAGAAGTGATTTATGGAGCTCTGCAAAGAACCTTGAAGCACATTGAGAGGCATATGATGAAAATTGTTGCATGAAAATATTTAATTTTCAAGCTTCATTTAAAGATTATTTGAATTAAATTATAAATTAAAGTGTTGTCCTTCCTGGCTGAGGGTCGGAGTCCCTTAAAACTTATGAAAATCAAAAATATTCATTTGCCAAGAGAATATTTGAAATCTTTATTGCAAAACATTAACAAATTGATGCTGAATCTGTCCACGTCTTTCAGAAAAAAATCTCAAAATATCTTTATTCTTTATAATTCTCAAAATCTAAACTGTTTTTATGCCAATTTTTCTTTAAAACTGTTAAGAATTATATCTTAATTTAACAAAGACACAAACTTTATTAAGATTGCCTGGAGAAATTTAACAAAACAGCCTTTTGAACATGTAAGTACATGTATACAGTTGTATACGCCCATTTTTTAAATATCATTTTTTTCAAACATTCTTTGCAAAATTTGAAAAAAGAATAAAATTTAAAATGATATAGGCTCAAAATCAATAAAAATAAATATCAAGTAAGTTTGTTTAAAAAAAATGAAAAAGCTTTACGTCCATAAAAGCAATTAAGAATTTTGTGTCTCTGTATGTACTAAATGACATGTAGATCCTATGGACAGAATGCAAAGTGTTTATCTCCATAAATCATGTATATTAAATGCTTTGCACGCACAATGACACTATATTAAGCAGAAATATATACACTTGCAAAATTATTTTCAGTCATCCAAAAAGATTTTATTTCAATAGACAAGTGTTGATCCGAATTTTATATTGGTGTGTAAAATTAAAACCGGATCCGTAAAAGTATGGACCTTCCTAAATGGTCACGTATAATACGACGTACGGATCAGATTACTCTAGATCTCTAACCACTGTGCCACGCAGGCGAGTTAAAGTGGTTACAATCGATAGCAGAATTGCCAATCAGAACAAGCTTCGACCGATTTGCCGTATGTCACAGAATACACGTTTTCTTGACATATTTATGATTTTGTGTTTCTCAAGTAAGCTATTCAAACGCAGAAAAAGACTCTTAAAAGACTTCAATAATTACCCCGGTATCTTCTTATGTTTAATCAGAATATTATAGGATATTTATTTCACTAAATGGAAGAGGAGGAAGGTTACAAGTTCATTCTACATTTTCAACATGATCGTAACAACAATTTATTTATAATTTTAATTCCTAAAAATAACAACTTATGTTCTCTTAGACGACTTTTTTTTCTTTTTAGCCACATGATAAGAATCGATACGATAAGAATCAATACATATGGTGAATTTTCTCCTTCATACTTAATAAATTGTAGCAATGGATCAAGTTTGAAAAGTAGGTACATGTTTGAAGGTCACGAAAGTTGAGATAGAATAAGACTTTGATGAACTGATTTTTGATCTTAGTCTCACTTTTAAAAAAAGGAATATATTGTGGAAAGTGAGACAGGGGTCAGAGCTGGGCTCGTTAGATACTTTTATGGCCCCGGATCCAGATCGACTGATGAGGTTGTCAAATTCACATTTTTTTGTTTAACAGCATAAAAATCAGAGTACAAAGTGCACTTCAGGAAGAGGTATTAAAAAATAAAATCAGCTTACTTAATCATTGAAGTATAGTTCTTCTTATTTTTCAGACTCTATCAACATTTGCTCAACATGTACACAGATCGTATATCTTGCAACTTGGGTTCCTAAAATTGACACTAAAACTCCAGGAATTGGTACTCTCTCATCAGCGTTGAACCCATCTATCCGGTGCCAGAGATGCACTAGTAATGACTGAGTCTTAATTGTGATTCTTCACATAACACTGCAATTTATAGGCTCAATCATTAATCATTACTAGTGCATCGTTCATAGAACATTGCGGTCCTTCGGATGAGACCGCATAAACCGAGGTCCCTAGCAGTAGGTGCTAGCACGAAAAAAAAACCCTCACTGCTCAATGGCCCTTAGTGCCGAGCTTAGAACAAAATTTGCAGCTCTTCATTGACAAGTGGTGCATGGTGTCTCCGTATGAGTGAAAAATTCTCAAGAGGGACGTTAAACAACATACAAACAATCACATAACATTATGTTTCCTACTTATTGTCAGATTACACTTCATAGAAAAACTGACTCAGACCAGTTTTATATACTTACGGAGTTTGCACATTTCAAATCTAAAAACAGAGTCAAAACAGAGACAAACATCTCAGAACTTTATGCTGCTGGAATGCTCTTCCCATTTTTTATTCTTGGCTACGAGTGAAGATAAAGAAGTTCGGAAAATAAGCCTTTCAAAATAAAGTCACTTTTAATTAAAGTGATATATGAGTTAATAGATAGATAGAGATGGAAAGAATGACTGGGGCTGTTTTATGCTCTAAAACAACTCACATAAACCACCACAGCAATTAATGGAATTTCAGTTCAAATAAATTTACTTATCCTTACATTTTCTTTTCTTGTTTAATTTATTTCGATATAAGATTGTGGTTGCACTGTACAAGCTAATTTTATTTTCATTGCTAGTAATTATTTGTGATATTATTTTCTTAGATGATAAATATCGCCGCTCATTGTTCAAATACATGTACCCTTTCCCCCATTAATATGCATGTACATGTATGTAACTTGACAATTAATTAAGTGCATTTATTATAAACTGCGAGCAAAAATGTAATAAAAATGAAACTTGACTTACCTTTGAAGTTCCTATTCATTATAACACTGAATCTTTTTAATTCACGTCATTTTTTCTTCAGTTAATCATTCATTTCGGAACCCCTGTAGAGGATCGTGTTCCATTTTCGTCTTTGTCCAGCGACACTAACTGAAAGGATTACATTCCACTCAATGAATTCAACATTGTTTTCTTCCCCCAATTATCATTAGAAAGTCATTTAAAAGTTGAGAGATTCGATTATAATCTAATTATCATATAAAAGACACGAGGGCTTCTCTCGATTTTTCTCATATTAATACATTCACTTCTTGTCGAAAGTGCTTCCAGGTAAATATATGGATATGACAAATTAGCATACGCATTCCTCGCTTGATTGCAGTCTGACAATTACATAAGAAAGCGGAAGCCAGGGCTGGCGTGCACTTAAAAGATATACGCATGGACGGATAAACTGTCTGACCTCCGTTACATGTAGTCTGAATGACCATTCAGTACAAGGGTTGATCCAAAAGTAATGTCTCAACTATACTATAAAATCTTTATCAACAAAATTTAACTTACTTATTCCCCTATCCAGTTTGATTTTTTACGATATTAAAATTTCTTCAGCTACTAAATTAATACATGTACTAGTATATGAAATACTTTTTTAAATACCAGGATATTTAAGAAGTTAGACCTTATGAAGATAACACAACGTAGGTTTCGCCTATCGCCTTATGACAAGAGTAATATGTGACGTGCCAAGCAAAAACCTCCCTTAACGAAGAATTTTGACATTTTCAGATTTTTATTGATTCTTGTAGAGTTTTTCTTTCTCTTTCGTTTGATGTATAACATGACATATATTTCTGTACATAAATGTATAAAAAATCGCATGACAAAGACGGAATATTTACTTTGACGTACAGTGTACGCGTGCGTAACTGCATGAATTTTTTTAACGTAAAATCGTAAAATGACGTAAAGCTTCATAATAATTTGATGATATTTATTATTACATGTGTATTAAACTTTTGATTTGATTTCCTTAAAAGTATCAACAATTAAGGATTTTTTCATCGTAATAATAGAAAATAAACATTCTAAGGTATATCTTTGAGAAACAAATGACGGGAGGGGGGTGGGGGGTGGACCGAAATGATCGTCAAGGGACAAAACTCAGGACAAAATAAAAAAATATTCTCTTCTTCTGGGATTTCTTCCAATTTATGGCTTTTTAATGCAGTAAAATGGCAGAAATCTACATTACTGCAATAATAAAAGAAAATTAGCAACATTTGGATAAAAAAATCCTATTGTGGTAGTACAAACGACACACGTACGGCTTCCTACTAGCTTAGGCTAGTGGGATAACCCTTAACCTTATTCGGTAAAGCACAGAGGCCTCGGGTTCGATCCCAATTAAGCAGAGGCACGTAATTTTCTCTGTTACACTATCAAAGTATTTATCTTTAAACAAGAGGCCCATGGGCCTTATAGGTCACCTGAGCATTATGCAACAACTTTCCAGCGATTTAATTTGATTAATGTTTTAAGCAAGATGCTATGGCATTCACAATTTTGAAAGAGGCACCATTTGATCATCATAACAATACACTTAGCAGTTGCTTAGTTTGTTTACTTAATACCCATAGGCAGGGTGTGGGAACAAAAAATGCATTTCAAGTAATCAGTAATATTCAGCAATAATCAGTAATGCCCCAATCACACATGAACCCCTGACCCTTAGGCCTAGATCCACACATTGCACAATTTTTGAAAAGGCACCCTTGCTTTTCAAAAATATTTGATTAATACCAAGGAGCAGATCTCGAACAATTCATCCAGTTTCAGTATATAAGTACACCCCCCCCCCCTATGGTACCCCTGACCCTGGGGCCTTGAAATTCACAATTCTGGAAGATTAGGGTCCTTGCTCATCATAACTACATAGGTAGTTCATCTGCTTAATACCCAAGAGCAGAGAAGAAAATTTTCAAAGATTTAATGTATTTTCACTATATAATCAATAGAGCCCCACCCTATCACTAGCACCCCTGACCCTGGGGTCATAAATTTCACAATTTTGGTAGAGGCACTCTTGCTCATCATACTTATGCACTTGTTTAGTTTATTTAATACTCAGGAGCAGAGAAGAAGATTTTCAAAGAATTCATAAATTTTCACTATAAAATCTATAGAGCCCCACCCTAGCACTAGAACCCCTGACCCTGGGGCTATAAAATTCACAATTTTGGTAGAGGCACTCTTGCTCATCAAAACTATGCACTTAGTTAGTTTATTTAATACCCAGGAGCAGAGAAGAAGATTTTCAAAGAAATAATGCATTTTCACCATATACTTATTTAGCCCCACCCTAGCACTAGAACCCCAGACCCCGGGGTCATAAATTTCACAATTTTGGTAGAGGCACTCTTGCTCATCATAACTATGCACTTAGTTAGTTTATTTAATAATCAGGAGCAGAGAAGAAGATTTTCAAAGAATTCATGAATTTTCACTATATAATCTATAGAGCCCCGCCCTAGCACTAGAACCCCTGACCCCGGGGCCATAAAATTCACAATTTTGGTAGAGGCACTCTTGCTCATCATAACTATGCACTTAGTTAGTTTATTTAATACCCAGGAGCAGAGAAGAAGATTTTCAAAGAAATAATGCATTTTCACTATATACTTATTAAGCCCCACCCTAGCACTAGAACCCCTGACCCCGGGGTCATAAATTTCACAATTTTGGTAGAGGCACTCTTGCTCATCATAACTATGCACTTAATTAGTTTATTTAATACTCAGGAGCAGAGAAGAAGATTTTATAAGAATTCATGAATTTTCACTATATAATCTATAGAGCCCCGCCCTAACACTAGAACCCCTGACCCTAGGGCCATAAAATTCACAATTTTGGTAGAGGCACTCTTGTTCATCATAACTATGCTCTTAGTTAGTTTATTTAATACCCAGGAGCAGAGAAGAAGATTTTCAAAGAAATAATGGATTTTCACTATATACTTATTTAGCCCCACCCTAGCACTAGAACCCCTGACCCTGGGGCCATAAATTTCACAATTTTGGTAGAGGACTCAATGCTGATTACAATCATGCAAACAGTTTAACTGCTTGATGTCCAGGAGTAAAGAAGAAGATTTTTAAAGATTGCATTAATTTTAGTGGTTTTTGCCCCACCCCCCAGGCCCCAGGGGGGCAGGGACCATGAAATTCACAATTTTTGTTCCCCTTCACCCATAGATGCTTTGTACCAAATTTGGTTGAAATTGGTTCAGTGGTTGCAGAGAAGAAGCTGAAAATGTTCAAATGTTAACGGACGACGGACGACGCACGACGACGGACGAAAACGGTTAGCAATAGGTCACCTGAGTTTACTCAGGTGACCTAAAAAGAAGTTCACGACAGTCCTTACTCCCCCCCCCCCCCCCCCCCCCCCGGGTCAATAAAAGTCTATACAGTATACGAATAGATAGAAAGTATTGTTATAGTACCTGAAATTTTTTACAGAGTGCGACAGTTTTTTTTCCTATCCAAAGATTACATGTTTTAGTTTCGAATGTTTTAATACTGAAGACTTCTTGGCTTATTGAAAAGATATTCTGCACCCAAGAATAGATTGTATTTGTCTCTTGTAGTAGAGTTTGATCCTTTTCTTCTAAATATATTTATTTTCAATAATTTAAACATAAATATAAAATAGGAAACGGAAGGCCAGGAAAAATGAATCAAATGTTAAAAATTACCAAGAAATAATAATTGAACACTTTAGAATTTGATGCACCTAATCTTCATTGATTTGATTTAAACATGCATTTATTGAATTACACAAACGCATTGGAAACAAGTTTGACAACTTTCAAGTTCTTTTTGTGAATGAAAGACTGATTTCATAACGACACCCGAAGAAGAAAAGCGTCTGCATGCATACTTTTCAGTTAATCCCACACGTGACACGTAAATCCACAACTTCATTTCTAGGAATAGAATATAAGGCTTATATTAAGCTTCACTGTTACCTTCCTGAGAAAGTACACGCACACATTATAATTTATTTAAGTCATCTTAAATGCTAGTTACATTTTAGTATTGGTCAAAACATGCATGTTAAAAATAGCAACAGAAAGTAAGAGAACGGGTAAAACATTTTTGCATGTAATATTCTTCGATCATCGTAAACGGGGGGGGGGGGGGGGTCACAGCTATGGACATTTACGCTTAATTGATTACCTGAATTAATTAAACAAGAACAAGGCACACATGTACAATCTTACGCTGTAACTTTTGTTATTTTTTAAAAAATAATTAATTGTCGTAATTTATACATTTTTTATACACGAGATGTACATATATGAATGGGTTAGTTGATCAAGCACGCAATATTCAAGCCGACCAACATGTATTTTTGTATGTTTGATTGATTGATTGTATGTTGTTTAACGTCCCTCTCGAGAATATTTCACTCATATGGAGACGCCACCACTTGTCGGTGGAGGGCTACAAATTTAAGCCTATGCTCGGCAATTAGGGCCTTTGAGCAGTGAGGGATCTTTTTCGTGCCAGCACCTACTGCGACACGGGGCCTCGGTTTATACGGTCTCATCCGAAGGACCGGTCTCCACGTCCCGCAGTGGGATTCGAACCCGCGACGTAAGGATTGACTCCTTACTTCGCGACTCTAGAGCAGTCGCTCTAATCACTGCGCCACGCGGGCGACCTTTTTTTTATGTTCGATAAATCCTTTATCATAGAATATGGAGCGATTTGATCATTGACTTAAGTATAATAGATTCAGATACATGTATTTATATCCTCCAACTTCCATATATCTTGAACAAATATAGGCATATAACCACGGATTTTGCATAAACGTCGGAACCCTGGGGGGGGGGGTTAGGAGCGGTTTAGCCCCCTTTTTTTCCATAAAGATATCTTTAGTATAGACATTGGACATTGCTGCGTAGGCTTAGCCCCCCCACCCCACTTTCCATAGACATGTTGCAATATAGGCTTAAAATTGGGAAAGTGGAGTGTTTGGAAAAAAAAAGGTTTGGAGTTCGAACCTAAACCCCCCCCCCCCTCGCACGTAATTGGATTTTCGTGTTTAACCAATGCACATTTCCTTTTTTACTTGCTTGTCAGGCTTTTTTGAAGGTTTAAAAATTCCTTATACATGTACCTACCCCCTCCCCCCCCCTTTCAATTGCTCCCGACGCCAATGTTTTGAGCAGATTTGTACCGTACTAATTTTGCATTAAACTGCCAATACATGTATATGTTCAATGCAACTTTTGCAGGAAAAATTTATTAA